GGCGAGGGAAGTTCTGTCTGCTTGGGCATCTGGGTTGTTGGCGTGTGAGACTCTTTTGTAGTTGCTTTCAGATGCCTTCTATTTCGTCTAAGGGCAGAGCCATCTTCTGTGAGGACTTTGTAGGATCGCATGTTCACCTGTTCCTGAACAGTGGCTTTCTTCCAGGGCGCCTTGGGGTTGCTTGTGGGCTGAATGCGCACTGAGTCTCCAGTTTTCAGTGGTGGCAAATCTCGAGCGTTTCTATTGTAGTAAAATGCCTGCTTGGTTCTTGTCTTCCATTTTTCTTCTTGGACATTTTCGGCGAGTTTGGGTTTAAGGAGCTTCTCGCTTGTTGGGAGTAGGGTCCTTGTTCGACGACTCATTAGTCGTTGTGCTGGACTGCTTTTCATGCCTTCTGAGGGTGTGTTTCGGTGGTCGAGGATCGCGAGCCAAGGATCTGTTCCATCTTTGTTAGCCTTCTTAATAAGCCTTTTCACAGTCTTGACTGCGCTTTCCGCCATACCATTGGACTGCGAATGTCCGGGACTTGAGGTTAAATGATTGAATTCCCAATCTCGAGCAAATCTCCTGAATTCGTCCGAATCAAACTGTGGGCCATTGTCGGAAAACACAGTGTTCGGGATGCCATGCCTTGCAAAGTGTTGCTTCAATTTGTAAATAACAGCTTTAGATGTTGTACTGGACTCCAACCTATCGACTTCCCAGTAGTTGCTGTAGTAATCTACGGTCACGAGGTAATGTCGGTTGTTTGTCTCAAACAGATCAACACCAACCTTGGACCATGGCCGGTCAGGTACCTCATGTGGGTGGAGTGTTTCCTTCTGCTGGGAGATCTCAAAGGTTCGACAAGTTTCACACTGTCTGACAAAGTTCTTCACAGCTGTGTTCATTCCTGGCCAGAAAACGCTTTCTCTCGCGCGTCTCAAGCATCCTTCCACGCCAATATGTGATCGGTGGATTCTGGATAGGACTTCTGGTCTGAGGGATTTTGGAACTACACATCTGTCTCCTTTGAAGATAATTCCATCTTGCGCTGATAGCTCGTCACGAACGTTGAAGTATGGCGTGACGTCATTTGGGAGATCAATCTTGGTCTCAGGCCACCCTTCTCGAATGACTTTCTGAAGTGCTTGCATCGTGCTGTCTCGCAGACTTTCTTTACGGATATCGTCTAGGCTAGCTTTGCGGAGTGGCAGAAACTCGACCATATGTATTTCTTCAACTTCTTTGTCGATGGTTAGCACTTCATCGCGCGATGTGGTGTTGGGAAGGGGTGCTCTAGAGAGTGTGTCTGCCAGATACATGTGCTGGCCTGGCTTGAAACCAATTTCGAGGTTATACTTCTGCAGGCGAAGTAGCATTCGTTGTAGACGTTTGGGGGCGGCCACGAGAGGTTTGCGGTAAATAACTTCAAGTGGTTTATGGTCGCTCTCAACAATCACTTTGCGACCATAAGTGTATTGGTTGAACTTCTCGGCTCCAAACACTATGGCTAGCAGTTCTTTCTCTATTTGCGCATAGTTGCGTTCTGTATCCGTCAGGGATCGCGATGCGTATGCCACTGGCTGACCATTTTGTAAAAGCGTAGCTCCAAGTCCAGTGTCCGAGGCGTAGCATTGAAGTACAGTCTCTTTGGCGGGATCAAAGTATCGGAGGACAGGTGCTTGGGAAGCTGCTTCTTTGATCTTCTTAAAGGCGCTCTCATGGACGTCGCTCCAGTGCCATTCTGCATCCTTGCGCGTTAGCTGTCGAAGAGGTTCGCAAATGTCTGCCAGCTTTTTTAAGAATCTCGTCAGGTAATTCGCTAGACCAACAAGCCGCTGTACACCTTTCACATCTGTTGGTCGCCTCATGCCTTTGATGGCGTCTATTTTGGATGGGTCTGGTTTTAGTCCATCTCTTGTTAACACATGACCAACGTAGGGGATTTCTGTCATCTTCAACTTGAACTTCTCCTTGTTCAGTTTCACTCCCTTTTCGCGGCACCTTTCAAGTAGAGTTAGCAGTTTTTTGTCGTGATCTTTCACTGCTTCTTGCACAGTGTCACCTTCACCCGAGATGAGGATGTCGTCTGCAACTGTGCGCACACCGGGAAGGCCTTCGATGGCTTGATCCAAACGATGTTGGAAATATTCCGGTGCGGGTGATATGCCAAATGGCATCTTCAGCCACCGGTACCGACCAAATGGAGTGCCAAACGTTGTTAGATAGCTTGAATCTTCATCTAACTCGACATGCCAAAACCCGTTTTTAACGTCACACACACTGAAGACTTTAGCTTTTGACAAGTCCGGCAGGAGATCGTCGATAACCGGAAGAGGGTAGTGGCTGCGTTTCAAAGCTTTATTTAGTGGCTGAGGGTCGATACACACGCGAAGCTTGCCGTTGGGCTTCTTAACAAGTACCAAGCTTGAGACCCAATCTGTTGGAGTGTCAACTGCTTTGATAACACCAAGTTCTTCGAGACGAGTGAGCTCTTGCTTTAACTTGGGTTTCATTGCCACTGGAATCCTTCTAACAGGCTGTTTCACTGGTTCAATGGTTGTGTCCAACTCTAAGTGAAGTTTCTTCTCAAATTTTCCTTCTCCAGTGAAAACGTCATGGAAATCTGCTGCTATTTGTTGCATCGTTAGGCCCATTGCTTCTGTCTTTTCTTGTACCAATGAGATATTCTCGTAACGCACTTTGATTAATTTCATTTTCTGCACCGTTTTGGAACCCAACAGTGGCGTGCAGTCGTTATTGACAACAACAAACTCTGTTTCGCATTCTTCATCAACCTTGGGATTTACCAGATTAACACGACATTTACCAATGGTTTCCATTTTCGATCCGTTAAACATGCTGAGGACTTGTTTCGAATGCGCGATCGGGCACTCGTTCGGTAAATCGTTTTTGCTTATCACATTACAGGTGGCGCCACTGTCGACTTGAAAACGAACGGGATGACCTTTGATCTCCATTGTTGCGAAGATTTTCGATTTGATGGGTTGACTACTGACACTTTTGACACTTTGTTCTTCCAGATTTTCGGATGAAATCGTGAAGCAGTACTCTTCATCGCTCGAATCCTGTGAAGTTTTTGCGTCTCGCACTCGGTGAATCCGTTCTTTTCTTCGTTGTCGCCCACCAAGTTTCTGTTTACATAGCTTGGCGAAGTGATTTGTTTTGCCGCATTTCGCACATTCTTTTCCGAACGCTGGGCATTTATCTCTTGATCTCTCGTGTTTTCTGCCGCAGTATTTGCAATTAACTAACTTAGGACTGGCGTCTCTGCCGTCTTTTTTCTCTTTGTGGTTGAGTGCGTTGACTTCTTCTCTTCCACTCATGACTTTCATTTGCGATGCAGTTGTTTCGGCTGATCGACATACATCGATACACTTCTGAAGATTTAATTTGGGCTCTTGTAGTAATTTCTTCCTAGTTCCCGTGTCACAAATTCCACAGACGATCCTATCACGAATTAATTCGTCGGTGAGTGGACCAAAAATGCACGTTTTCGCGAGAGTTTTGAGCGCTGTGAGATACGTGTCAAATGATTCGCCGCTTTCTTGTTTTCTATTATTGAAGCAGTATCGCTCGTAAATGACATTTGTTTGGCCAATACAATGCCTCTCCATCAACTCCAGAACTGTATTCATTACGTTCTTGTCTTCTTCTTTTTCGAACGGAAGACCATTGTAGACTTCGAGGGCTTCGGTTCCAATGCAGGTAATGAAAGTAGCTACACGGTATTTATCTTCTTGCTGGTTAAGACGTGAGGCGATTTCGAACGAATCCCACACTTGCTTCCACTTCTTCCAGTTTTCTGAAATATTTCCTGCCAAATTCAATCGCGACGGAATTGGTAAATTGCTTTGTATTCCATAACATGGCGTCGGCGCTTGAACACTCGCTGAACCTTGAGGTGGTGTAGTTGTCATCGTGTCGAAGAGGCTACACTCCTGGTACCATGTTTCGTTCTACCATAAACACACGATTTCTAGGTAACGAACAGTCTTTATTTGTAAACTAAGTGCGCTCTCATGTAGATATATGTGATCTAAAACCTTTTTTTGCGATTAGATAACATCGACCGCTGTATCATGTGTCACCTGAGGTGCACGTGATCTCCGAGTGTGCTCTCGTTACAACTTCGTTCTGAGCGCAATGTTTCGTTAGCTTAATTCAAAACTCATTATCATTTAACGCAAAAAAACCCCTACAACACAGAACGGATGAAAATGAAATATCGACCGGGTAACTACGTATTTTCAACCTCATCCTCTTCATGAAGTATCATAAATATATCTTATTAGACGTTTTGGTGTGTAGTATCGCTGAGTACTTTTACGAGTTGTGTCGTATTTTGACGAGCCTATAGGGAGAGTCAAAATAGAGACAACGAATAAAAATACTCAAGGATACTACACACCACAATGTCTAATAAGCTACTGACTATCCAATTGTTTTTTTTTTTTTTTCTGTTAGTCTTTCTGCTCATTTCTCACAAGGTGGGAAAAGCAAAGCGGATAGAGAAGCGTAACGTCCGCAGCCGAATGGTTAAACAGGTTTTTCTACAAAATAACCAATTCTCCAAATAACCGTTCGATATCGCAGGATATGTGCACTCTATTCGCGCGTTATTTGTACTTTACTTTGTGCAGCTGGATAATAAAGAGATTCTCCTCTCATCGTCTGTGGTTAACGAAGTGAATAAAATTAAATTGGAAAAAAGTGCGCATCCGGAACTGTAGATTCACGTTCAAATATTTGTCAGAGAGTGATGCGAGTGATGTCACCACAACTAACATAAAACTTCGGGTAAAATTCTTCAGATAGTGAGTACAGTAATTTAGTGTTAACTCACGACCTTGAAGTACGCAAGTGGCTATGAAAAAAGAAAATGTTCGCAGGGTAAGTCGTCCGTGTCGGAGTAAAATATCCGTTTAAAACACATTAGAGGTCGTCTTCGAAATTATGGTCGCCAAATACACATGAATATATTATTTGAGTTTCACTGAATTTTATTACAATCGTGGTTAATCAGTTTCCAGCAATTTAATTAAATCTAGGATATTAATGGTTGTCATACATTTGTTGTTGAAACATCGCTTAAAACAACACCATCCGAGAGATACTGAGGTTGAAAATGAAAAAGAAAAATTCCCCGTTTGTCATACCCTTTCATCCACTTCTCTCCCAGCCCGCATGTCCCAGCAGCTATGGCAGTGAAAAAGTGTAGTACCATTGTATTCAGAGATCCTATCACTTACAAACTTCATGCATGGGTCATACAGACCACTTTGTGAGAAAAAATGGTGGTTATCTTGAAGGAAAACATTACATTACTCCTCTCTCTTCACGTCCTTCAAAAACAGAGCTCGAAGGATATTTCAGAATATTGGGAATAACCTTACACAAGCGCATCTCTTGTTTAAGTGACTGAATTGATACCAAGAGCTTCAATTTCTATCTAATTGTGCACCTACCTATTTTTCAAAATATCATTTTAATTCCTTGAGTTTTTTTTTACAATAAGTGATACCAAAATATTTTCAGCGCTCCCCCCTTTGGTAATAATGCTATAATCTAACTGGTCAGTCTAGTTTTCGTACGATGGCAACATTTTTCCTCTAGTCTGAAGCAGCACCCTATGAGCATAATTTTTTGTTTAAATCAGGATTATAAGAGTTACAAATAAATGGTCGAAATATGGTGACATGGAATGCTGCCCAATCAAACCCTTTGAATAAAAAACACTCGTTTTGAATAAGCGAGTTCCTTGAAAATACAAATGTATATAATATTTACGTGTGAAAGTAGATCAATAAATATATAAAACGGGTAAAAAAATGTATTTAAAAGCATTTGAAACACCATTGGTCAACAATCTCTAAAAAATTAAACTAAACTACTTTGCTATAAATAAATTACTCATCTTAGAGCATCTGAGATCACATTACCTCAGAGAAGAGCATTGCTCAGTTTTTCTCGCTAGATTGTACAATGAAGAAGTTCTTTGTGCAAAGAATTATCGCCCTTTCTTGGAACTCAGTTCCCGCTGTCATACACGGGCCACTACAGCCTCAGCCCCTTGATTTGACAAAAATGCACTTCTAGGAAGGTTTAGGCCAGTATGACTTAAAACCTACAAGAGGTTACACTGCTGATCCAATGTTCAAAATATTAAGGTATTCATACATGTACGCTGCTTTGAATGTGCGTATAATTTTGCTTTACATGAATCTCTTTAAAAATCCATGTGATAAGCCAAGATCATAATAAGTCTTGTTTTTCAGTTTCTCTTATGATAAATTAACAGATAATCCGCCATAAAGAGACGAGAAAACCACGCATTTATGTTTAGCTTATCTTTAGAGCAATAAGATTGAGGAGTTTAACAGCTAAGTGTGTAATAAAGCGATGTATTTCTTTCATCAAAGTGATTTAGTTGTGGCATGGCAATAATCGGTTCACCTGGAAAAAAGTTAGTTCTTTTTAGTACCATTTCTGGTCTCTCTTACAACCCAAGTCTCACCATTTGTATCTGTACAAATGAAATCTGGATTTCGACTTCTCATGTCAAACTGTGATTTGACTTCACCGGATGCGTGAGTTGAGCCATCTATGGTGTTATATTTACTCAACAAGATAATGATCCTCTTCTGATATTTCCATGGCCTGCACTAGTTTACTGAAACTGGAGTCTGGATTTGCAAGCAAAGCAGCTGGAGTGTCAAATTCTGCAATCTGGAAAGAAATCAACTTGTAAAAAAAAACTGATCAAAAAACCGAAGTTTGATCTCTCTTAACAAACGACGAGCACTTGAGCATGCATTGAGCTACATGGCTTCATGTCTCTCGAAATTTCTGTTTTTTCCCTTTTCAGAACAGCATCTGTCTTATTTTGCTGAAAGTTAATTGTAATTCCTGCACGCCTTAACGAACTTCGTCTATCACTTAAGCTAGATCACTACAGATCACAAGCAGAGGTTCAAGCAGCTCTGTTTTTTCATACTGACCTTCCCATGATCCATGACAAGAATCCGATCAGAATCCATTACTGTGTGCAAGCGATGAGCTATCGTGAGAAGAGTGCAGTGCTTAAACGACTCACGGATCGTGTCTTGAATCTTTGAGTCTGGAGAAAGTAAATTAGATCCTCACTTCAAACAAAGAAAAAACTAAGGAAGCTTATTTCTAACTCTTGCAGTAGTGATCGAGAAAATAAGGCAATTTTACAGCGTCGATGTTACTTCTTTTGTGCTCTAAGGAAGAAAACTGGGAACGTTTTTGTTTCTCAAAAATAAAAATTGCCTTACTCAAAGTTCATTACAGTGAGCTGAAGTACGTGTAACATTGACCAACATTGTGGTTGAGCTACATGAAAATTAACGAAAAAAAGACTTGGAACAAAGCATCGAAAAGCAAATCATGTTTTACCTGTTTCAGGATCAATTGAAGCTGTAGCTTCGTCTAGTAATAGAATCTGTTTAAATAAAACTTACATTAACAGGAAGATAACAGAGAAACACGTGGAAAATTATCACAAAGTGTGCAACTATTATCCAATGAAGACAGTTGCTATAATTAACAATAATTCATTGTTCCGCTAAGCGGCGAGGTAAATATCCACCACATTCAACGTCACTGAGGTGAGTAATTGTTTTATTATATACTCGGAGGTAAATGGTAGTTGCTACTCATTTCCCAACCAGCCAATCAGAGCACGCGAAAATCACTTTTAACTTCTGTGGTTTATACTAAAAGCAAGATATTGATAATATTCGGTTCTGATTCATTGAAACTAACCTTGCTATTCCTCAGCAAAGCTCTCGCCATACAGATCAACTGACGTTCACCCACGGAGAAGTTTTCGCCATTTTCAGAGACTGGTGCCATGAGCTGAGCAGGCAAACTGTCCACCTGAAATGAATGATCAAACCTCAACTGATACATTTGCAGTAAATTATGTCAACGTGTATAGACATCCTATAGAAAGTGAGCCATATGAAAGGTAACTATGTTAGGATGTCAGTTGGTTGAGGCCATGCTGTCAGTAAACCAAACAAGTTTAAGAGATTAAAAATCAGAGGCAGCGAGCCACTGAACTCGGGAAATGAATGATGAAGAGGTATGAAGTCGAGGTCACTGAACTGACTTCGTATTTTTAAACTTTTGGTCAAGTAAGGTCACGCTTTATGTACATGGTCAATTGGAAAGCACATTTGTCAGTTTCACATACGCTCTGCATATGTAGCGGAATGAATAGTGCCTCTCCTTTCAAGCGAAGGATCCTTGGATTTCGCTATCAGATGATCTGCCAACTGAGCTACAGAGAACTTGTTGGCGAGCGAGGCCATAAGCTCGAATTCAAAATCGTCCTAGTTGTATACTGCAACAACAGCTATGCCGAAAATATCGTCTGTTTGAATAGATTAAGAAAGATGGTAAATTTTAAGCTCACCGTCGAACATCTGTCTTCAAGTTTACATAAGTTAAACAAGGAAAGTAAAGGACTCCAAAAAAATGCATACTGAGAGGTTAAAAAATATATTCTGCAGGTTGTTTTTGTTTTTGCTGTCTTAAAGTGTAATACAAAAGAAACGCTGCCGTCTAGCGTTTTATTTTCTTGGTAAGACGTTCGGTTTTCGATCAGCCTCACGCAAATACACGGATATTCAGCCACCTCAAGTTTCACTCAAAACGTCGTTACAGGAAGGACCCACCGTTTCTCGTAAATGTGCTCTCTCGAGGGCAGTCCATATTTCATTGTCACTGTGTTCTTTGAATGGATCCAAGTTGTACCTGAAAAGAAAAGATTTTTAAGTGAAAAAAACAACAGCGAAACAATGCAAAACGAAAGAACAGCAGATGCCAATACAGCGTAAGAAGAAATAATTTACCTGACAGTACCCACAAATAGCACTGGGTCCTGAGGGATGATTGATATTCTGGAGCGAAGATCTTCCAAACCTGGAAGATGGTTTAAATTATATCTCTTGTTGTTGTTGTTTTTTTTTTTAATGAATCTGGCTAGTGGCTAATCTCGTTTCGTATAGTCTCTAAACTTAAAGAACCGGTTATTTACACGAGGTCTGACTCAAACCACGGTTAAACAAAAGCGGTTGGCCTTAGAGATTCTCTATAAAAGGGTTGAGTAAATTAAATGAATGTCACTCCACTGGTAGCAAAATTAACCTTCAGATCAAAAGGTTCGGCTAAATCGTAGACAGTTCAGAACGCAGTATTGTTAAACAACGGCTAAACTTAGTTTAAATAACCAGCCCTTTAAATTTTTAAAAGGAAAGGATTTCAACTTCCAGAATGACAGACCCACCGCAAAAAAAAAGCTGTCGAAATTTCATAAAATTGTCATAGGCCTACAAAAGTCGTTTGACCCCAACAAATCGCTTTGGCGAGCGAGTTATTCCATCCATGCGCTTGAGCTGCCGAGACGATCGGTTAAAAACCACATTAATCAGGATAAAAACTACAACCAAGGGAGCCAGACCCAGAAGAAACCATAGAAACACTGTGGCAATCATGCCGCTCGAAATGTTTTAGATCACAGAAGAGGTTAAAGGTTAAATAGGTTAACAAAGGAGCCCCAACCGTACCACAAAATAAATGCCAACACAAAAAGACACTGCCATGAAAACCTGACCAAACCTCTTGTTTATGATGGTTGAATAATTTACTCTACGCAATGCCACTTAGATTTCAAATATGCTTATAAACCTTTATTCATAAATGGCTTAATTGCCACATTTGCCTGGCAGACCTTGACAAAAATCTAATTTTCACTCAAAAGTACGGCCAAAAACGTTTTTTTGCATGCTCATAAAATAATAACAATCATGTCCACCATTATGAAAGCGGTTAATGGGGTAGAAGTCGATGGGATCCAGCTCTAATCAAGAAAAAGAAGGGCATTTTTACGTTTTCCTAAAACGAAAAGCCATTTCAAACAGCCATAATATGGTTAATAACTGTTATACAAACCTATTTGACGTATGTCGACATCATCAATATGCATGCTGCCCTGCTCAGGCTCAACTAATCGCCATAGTAACACCCCGAGGGAGGATTTACCAGAGCCTGTTCGACCGACAATGCCAATCTTCTCACATGTCCGGATTTCAAAGGTGATATCGTCCAACACCAGAGGCAACCCATCGCGATATCGCATCTGTCCAACGTAAAAGCTATCTAGAGTTTCTTTTTGTATTTTATGAAGGTAACAGAGTTACAAAGGCATGACTTTGACGCTGCTGCTGGGCTACAATAACCAGGCAGTCGTTTTCCTACATATAAAAGACCCCTTACAGTAGACCTATTTTTCCATAAGGGTAAGGGGAATTAATTTCTCTTTGTGGTTAGATTTCCAGACTATACAATACTTCGATAACCATTTATATGATAAACTAAGTTATAAACGCCTTTTGATTGGTTCTAACTTATGATCTATGGAAGGTCAAGGTCAGATTTTTTAATCAGATGAAACGAATTGATTCCATATTGCCTTGGTTCTGTAAAGTAATATGCGGCAGACGTCAGTATGCGGCAGGAACATCAGTGGTTCCTACCACACTTTTATGTCATCTATAAACTATCATTGTGCCGACCCAGGGCAGCATGTAATCTCTTTATTAATTACATTCCGGGTTAGGGCGAGTATAGGAGAGATAAATGTGAACAGACGGACCCAAACCAAGATCAAAAGCATCCATTTGCCAACCCATTGTCTGACCCTTTCGCTTATTGACAAAGTTATACGAACTGAAAATATTCTGAATGCGCCGAATACTTGAGCATATCCAGCAGGACAACGGTCTCCTTACCTTAACACCTGACATCTTTATCACTCCACCATTTGGCCAATCAGGTGCAGGTTTCCTATCCGGGATTTCCAGTTCAGCTTCACTGGGCACAGAGCGGATATAATAGCTGATTCGCTCGACGCTTGTGAACCGCGCCTCTGTTTCCGCCACCTGTCGGACAGTGAACTGGAGCAAGGATGTCATCTATACATAGTAAAGGGAAAACGTGTTACTAAGAGACTCTGATTATTGAGAACGATTATTTTTGTTTTCGTCTAGTCTCGAGCGTGGAACAAAAGAAAAATTCCTCATGAGGAATCGAACCTCAGACCTTCAGATTCTGCGTCTTGATACATTACGACTGAACCACAGATAATCTAAGGTAAGCCAGACCATTGCGAGCGTGGCAGCGTTGTTCCATGCTCGTGTTAAGACTGAAAAACATCTTTCTCTATTTAACGAATTCAAAATCTACGGTCTTTCTAATTCTGTTTACACACATGGTGCTTTCCACATTTCTGATCCAAGCAGTGTGCAGAACGACTCTGAGCTGTATGAAGCTCAAACTTACGAAACATACGGACAATTGTCTTGAAATCAGCTTCAAGGTATGGGAAAAAACTGAATGTCCAAAGAGGAGAATGTAATGAAAGAGTTGCGCAAAGTTTCTTGCAATCCTGTGATTTGTGGTAGGTAGGTAAGTTACAGATGGCTAGCGTGTTCCTGCAATTTTCGTACATATGTAGCTATTTACACCGCGTAGAATTTGGAAAGTGACGATTTGATCTGCACATATTAAGAAAACTTAACGCAATTACATAAACTAAGGCCTGTACTAGGCTTACACCCATTCCTCCTAGATACCATTGCGGGTAGCAAAGAATCCGCTAAATTAGTCTCCGTTTCAACAGATGGCTTTGTATCTCTGTTAAGTCGTGTTCAAGAACTGTCCACTTCCGAATTCTTCCCTCAGGCTTTATTTTCTGAAATTTCTTTAGATGAATGTTGCAACTAAGGACTAATTTGTCTCATGACATAATAATGTTGACCTTAGGCTTTCTTACCCTCAGCGAGTACGTCAACACAAGACCTAAAAATGCTGGAGGTAGAGTTCCCTTGATAAGCACCACCATCAGACCTGCTATGCCAACTATACAGATTGTCAGCATGTCAAGACGAACCGCCAACCAGCGCTGCGCGCAGAAAAACATGAAAAAGGGCCTTGTATTCTGATCAAGGTAGCGTTTAAAAGCTGCGTTGAACTCGGTCATCTTATTGTAAGCGTGTAGAGTGGACAGACCTTGTACCGTGGCGGTTATATGTGAATAGATTGGCGAGCGAGTTATTCCATCCATGCGCTTGAGCTGCCGAGACGATCGGTTAAAAACCACATTAATCAGGATAAAAACTACAACCAGGGGAGCCAGACCCAGAAGAAACCATGGAAACACTGTGGCGATCATGCCGATTGAAATAAAAATACGAACAATGTTTAGTGACGATGCGTCAACGTTGAAAGGAAGATGTATGTCTATTTCATCAAGATCTTTCGAGAACCTGTTCAGAATCCTTCCAGTGGGTGTGGTGTCGAAGAATGCCATTGGAGCGCGACAAACTTTGTGAAACACTTTGTCGTGGAGATGTGAGGATGATTTGAGCGTGAAGTGGACCATCAGGTAGGATTTAATCAAGATTCCTAAGAAGAATCCCACAGCAGAAAGGGTGTACACCATGATGTAGAAGTTGTTAGTAGGATTTCCGGCTATGATGCCGGATTTTTCCGGAGTTATATTAAGAAATTTCTGAAAATAAATGTGAATACATCAACCGCAAGTAAAGCATATTTTATCTTCCTAGGTATATTAGGAATATTGAGTGGGTTTTGAAAAGCTTCAGCGTGGTAAAAGGAGGGAAAACGAAAGAAATAATGCTTTTTTCCTATTGGTTGAGTGGAGTGAAGGAAAGTCAATGCCATCTCACATTACCTGAGACAAGCAATTGAAGAATCCCACTTTTCGGGTTTGCTGAGGTAATGAGTAGCACGAGACATGTAAAACTAACCTGTTCAGATGCTGCATTCAGCCAGATGCCGAGCCATGTATCAATAAACAACTGTCCACAGAGACAAGCCGTCACAAATAACATCAGGAACAGAAATATACAATAACCTACAAAATAAACACAAAAGTGTCTTTCGCCGTCCCTTGGCCTCAGCTTCCGTAATCACCTAAGCAAACTATACTACCCACTAGAGAAGAATATCGCTCCACAAAGTCATAACGGTTATTGGGACAATTTCGGCCAATTACAGCAACATTCATTCAACATTCATTCAACATTCATTCAACATTCATTCAACATTCATTCAACAGCGCATTCACTTGAGTCTAGACCAACTTGAAGAGCGACATACAAATACGAGTCACAAACCAAAACGTGAGGAAGAAGAGGAAAGATCAATCCCTGTTGTAAAAGAACATCTTGAAAACTGTCGAGATATTTTTGCCACTTCGGCTGGTCTGAATAGTCTGCTCTAAGACTAGTTCATATTAATACTGCCCACATGAACAGCCTGAGGCGACGACAACATCGCCATATTTAGTGAGACAACTTCTCATCAGCAAGGGTATATGTTTTTTAGTTTACATTGTCAATCTGCTCTCCCGGTTCTAAATAAAAAATTTAAGTTTGCATGGTTAATAGAGGAACCAAACGAAGATAAAAATTTTCTGCTTGTAAAAAGTTTGAAGCGGGTCCCACTGAATCAACCAACCTCCAGCAGACTTCATGTAGGTCTTGTAAGTTTGAAATGTCACTGCTCCTTCAGCTCGATCTTCTTGTTGAATAAGTTTGCCAGCTGTGATCAAAAATGAAATCTGTTAAACGATTGTCACTAACTTAGACCAGACAAATTGAGAACCACAAAAATATTGGACTACCAGTCAATTCCCATTTCATGAGCTGATGCTCTCTTCGTGGCTATTTTATACTTCTGTTTGCTTATACCTGCACCGAAAGAGGCATCATGCAAAAAAAACACAGGCGTGGGCAAATATTAAGGAGGACTCATCGCAGTATAAAAACTAAACTGAACGGTCTATTTTCGATGATGAGTGAGTAATTTCGTATCGGATTTCCAGGCGAGGTCACCAAGCAAGGTGATCATTTAATGCGAAGCTCACGATTTCATCTTTATTTGTTATTTCCAGAGGCAGCCGGTTACCTTGCTGACGTCTCTCCTTTTCATCCACCTCTCTCCTAGCAGCCGCCTCAACCTCCAGTCCACTCTTCTTCGAACTTCGCCGTTTGGCACTGCCACGGGAACGTCTGCTAATTCGATTGTTGAGTTTGAAGGGCTCAAAGTTGCCATCCGTGAAACTGTCTCGAGTAGAATTATTCCTTTGACCAACTGAGAGTGTCCTTTCAACAAGTTTGCGGATGCCATCTGGTGATAATGGCGTGGTAGGACTGTCTGGTTTTTGTTGTGCATCAGGAGTGGGAAGAAATGCGTCCTCTTCGTCTTCAAGAAGCTCCTCTTCGACTTCTCTGATGAACAGGCGAATCAAGGTGGCAAATTCCTTTAAAAAAAATAATAAAAATAATAATGATGATGATGATGATGATGATGATGATGATGATGATAATGATGATGATGATGATGATGATGATGATGATGATAATAATAATAATAATAATAATATCAACAACAATAGAGGGGTACAAGATCGCCCAGCTAAATGTTATCATAGATGTGGTGGGCGGGCGAAGAAGATCTGAAGACGGAGATGACAAGCATCTATGGAAAAGCAGGAAAGCAAGTTTTGAAAAGAATGCAGAAAGCAGTACTATGCACCACTCTGAACATAGACAGAGTGTTCAAATCACGACATCATAAAAATTGCAACATTTCATCAAAACTTTTAGAGAATTTTTTAGTTATGAAGAACTTTTATTTATATATTCATAATTTTTAGACCTTTTACGTTAGAATTCTTGTTTAGCAGATGGATCACGTAGTCACACCCTAACTTGTAATTTTTTAATGCATCCAGAGGCTTTCACTGCATATTAAAATAATTATAAAAAGATCAACAGTTAAAGCTACTACGCTTTAAGGTTGAAGAAATCATCTGTTATCGTGAGCAATTTATTTTGTAACTTAAGGGGACACACTATAAAACAAAAATTACGAAAAATTCACAAACGAATTAAAAAACCCGCTCAATATTTGAGTATAAACAAAAGAGCTGTTACCCCATTATTGCGTATAAGTTCTTCATAGGTCCCTCTTTCAGCAATCTTGCCACTTTTCATGTATAACACGACATCACACTGACTCAAGTACTGCAAACAAAGAATAAAACATGCAGCTCATAGTGCACCGTAATAACAGAACAAAGGCTATCAAATGCCAACCTTTACACAGAAATTTCACCGTAGGCATTCATATAAAAATCTCCGACTGAAAAATTAATTCTGTGTTCCATTCCAGGGTTTTGACTCGTTCTTTTTTGGCAAAATTAGAGACTTCTTCAAGCAATTTGCCTCCTTTTTCCAGACACACAAAGTAACCAAAATGCATTTCGAGCACAAAAAGAGCGTTACAATGTTTAAGAATCACCTTGATTTTGACTCCATCAACATATTATATGAAATTCGACATAAAAAAAGGAACATTTCAGCCAGAAATAAAGCAGTTGAAAATTTCAAACTATTTTCCATTCCTCTCCAGTTCTGGAAAACTACATACATTAGGCATATTTCTACCTCATTTAATAGAATCCCGACTCAGTGGGTTGACAAGCCGGTGACCTGCTTTATTATCGTAGATATCCATTCTAACTCGCCCCAAAACAGACTCGTGCCCACACTGCAAAGTAACAACCTAACGTACCTGTAGCTGATGTGTTGCAAAAATAATGGTTTTATTCCAAAGGGCTCCTTTAATACAGTGCTTGAAAATGTGCTGTCCAACATGCGCGTCAACTGCACTCAGTGGATCATCTAACAAATATATATCCTACATGAACACAAATAAGACACAGTCATAAAGAATGACGAAAACTGTACATGTTTCGCTTTTCAAAACAGAATGATCATCTCACCATGTCATAGTACAGGGCTCTTGCTAAACTGATTCTCTGCTTCTGTCCACCACTGAGATTAATTCCGCGTTCACCAATCTTCAGCATGAAGACAAAAAGAAATCATCACAGAAGAGTGAAATTTGCATGATTGTCGAAAAATCAAAACCAAACGCTATTACTAAACAAAGTTAAATGTCTCAACGAGGTAATGAGAACTCAAACCAAACAAAGCGGTTAGCGCGTGGAGAGGGCTGGGAACCATTCAATTTTTTCTTCTGGTTGGCTGAAGGGTAGAGGTGTGAAGACCAATCACATAGCGAAATGAAGATCATTTTTACCGATGTAACCCCGAATCACTTTCGAGATTTAGTTGAAAATTGCTCTAATACTCATCAGGTAATCTATCCCTTTGGTTAAATATCCATGTTCCAAACTAAAATCTCTTCCTTTCGTTCGCCATCGAACTGAAGCCTACACTTTCCACAAACAAAGAAGGTTTAAGAGTCAGTCGTAACATTTTGTCACCTATAAAAACATTTTACCGAAACATTAAAAAACGCGAGAAGAAGGTAATTTTCACCTCCGTTTCATCACCATTGGGTAATATTTTAAGGTCCTGCTCCAAACTACAGGCAAAACGGGCAGTTTTATATCTGAAATAAAACGTGAAAATAAAATAAAATCATTATCAACACAGCACATTTGCATCGCTACTCCTAGCAAGCCATCGATTTCTAGTCTACTGATCCCCTCCCTTCTAAGCCTGACTCATAAAGCGAGGTCAGTTGGTTTCCACTTGGATTTTTTTTTTTTAACCGGAAGATGGACACAGAAAGAAAAGCGACCAAATATCACACACCACTTATAAGTTTGTCTGTATGGCTCGTAAGAACGCAATGTAAAGTTGGTTCACTAACCTTGAATCATTGTAAGGTTTTCCCAATAAAATGTTCTCCTTTACTGTGGCGTTCATAATCCAAGCCTGGGGTGCAAGTAATGCGCATGTTAGGTGCAATGCAGCGGATACACTTAATTGATTGTGAACATGATCATCGCGCGAGATAAGACCGAATTCAGTCGCAAGCTGACATGAAAGTAGATTGAGACGTTAGATGAACAGGTTCGGTGATTTTTCTCGCAGTCTTTACATTAATGTAAAGTACTGGAAGTAAAGTCAGACAGCACTATTCTGTTTTGGAGATACAGGCACACGATACTAACAGGAGGTACAGTCACATGGTACTGATTTGTACCGGAGACACTTTGGCACGTTACTTACCTGTTGAGCGACGTACGCAATGGATCCACCAATGGTAACATTCCCCTTCTGAATCCTCATCTGAAAAGCAACATGCATTAGATTTATGCATCTAGGACTAAGTGTTACTTATGCAGTGCAATGAATTAATACAACTTTATTTCACACACTACAGAAATAAATGCAAAGACCTCTTCCATTCAGTGATCAAGGAAGCACACAATGTCTTGTTGTTTGGGTAAGTAATGTCGATATCTTTTTCACAAAGCTCAGAAAGTGAAAAGAATAAAATGCCTCTGCGTCTTTCCTCGCTATCTGTGAATACATCCTTTAAGCAAATGAATGATTAGTCATGGAGTAGGAAGTGCTTCCTTTCCAGTAGTCTAGCGCTTAAGTCGAAATGGCGATTTAACGGTTGAAGTAGACAGCGAGCGATTTTCTAGTCTTCTTCCCAAGCTACTAGCATGACGAACCTGGCCAAGGAGAGCTTGCAAGAGGGAGCTTTTACCACTCCCCACGCTTCCACAAACACCAATCAAGGTTTTCTGTTAAAAAGACAAATGAATAAAAAATAGATAAAAAAGAAACGCAAAATAAGCCGCAAAGTCGGCAATTAAACTTCGTGTAACTAATTCTGTGAAATACTTAAAGATACTCAAATATAAAAAAGTAGAATACACAAAGATACCTTGTTGACAGTGAGATCGATGTCAAACAATGTTGACTCCAGTGTGGTTCGCACTTCAACAGGGCCACGCCCACGGGGCCCACCCTGTTTAGACCCTTTCTTTGTAGTATTGTCACGCCCTTCCTCAAGAAGCTTCAAACCTACAAACGTCAGAACCTGCCATTTACGGTTTTTCGAACTTGACAAAGGGGTCTCCGAGACCAGAGGTTCAAAACACACGAAGTACTTTGCTCAAATTGGAACGAACAATTAAGACATCTGTGATAATCGTTATCATACTTAATTTCCTTCACGGAAAATTGGACATGAAAACAGAATAAATGTAACTTTCAGTTCTACGGTGCATTCCGTTAAAGGAAATCGTCAATCCAGGACTGGGTTACTCATCCGTATGCTTCTAATTTTATGCAAATCGTTTTGTTCCAAATTCCTCTTTCAGGCCCACAAAATTATAAATGCGTAAATTAGACCTGTAGAGCCAGGAAATTTTGTGCAGAAATTATAAACTTACCATCCTGTCCGGCTTTTTCAGCACCTTCTCCGTTCTGTTCCTTAACCTCATTAGAGTGCACCTATAAACGACAGACACATATTTGACATAGATTATAAAGATTTCTTTGGGTAATGGGGACCTCCTCTTTTCACGAGACTCTTTTAAACATGCTGTTTTGCCGAAGCTCGTTGCCCAAGAGGTCTGGGTTTATAGCTGCCTGACGCTATTAAAATCAGGTATAACCCATGTCGATGAGGTAAAAGTTTTTTAAAAGGTTTTAAGTATAAAAAGATTTCCGGGTTTAAAGAAAAGAGTCCACGAAGCTATTAAACATCAACTTGGCACTAATTGATATGTTTCTCCGTCTCTTTTTTCTTTTTTTTTTTCTTAGTAGCACAAACACTTCTTTTCACACCAGTTAAACGGTACCTTGTCCCAGGCAAAGGTAGCTCCTGATATTGAGAGAGACACTTGAGGGTCGGCTGGTCTTTCAACAAAAGGCTGAAGTTCTTCCATTACCATCAAACTCTAAAAAATTTAACCAAATAACGAGTTAGCATTTAGCATGCAATTACTGTAATAGTGTGATTAGTTTAAAGAGCTGCAAATTAAAGATAATAATATCATCAGATTGATCAGGACATAAAATTAGTTCACCTTGATGAACGTCTGTTTCAATTAGTCGGGGCTTTTTACTCTCTTGAGTTGTAAGACATCGTGAAATTTTGGGATTAAATAATGAGCAAACTGGTATTTTCATATTCTCTTAAACACTTTCCAGTTAGATCTAATTAAAATAGATCATGCTGGATTGCTTGAGTGTTCTTACAAAAGATGATTTCCAGTGGGCTCTTTGATGACATTTGGTTACAGTTTCAACACTAAGATGCATACCCGAAGTCTTTTCAGTGCAATCCTCCCTTCAGCCAGAGATCTTATCCCAAATGGTAAAATGGCCAAAGAAAACACCAAAACATTGAAGAGCGTCGTCACCGTGAATGCCTGGAGAAAAGGATGTTATCATAGCATCAAATATAATCTATGTGGTAAAAGCAAACAATAATTCCCTAATACCGACCGCTTGCCACTTTGACAGCTTATAGTGGAAGCTACATGTAAAACTAACGGCAACCAAAACAGCCTAACAATGGCGGAGGTACCATAAGACAAGCACTAGTGTCTCTAAGGTAATGCACTCCTTAAGTAAGAAAGACAAAACCCATCCTGTATTCTCATTGGCTGCCTGAGCAGGTAAAATGGGTCTACTTATTTTTCATCCAAATAGATACTTCTTACATTGTACTTCTCAGCCTTAAAATAATTTGTTTGGCAGTTTCATCTGCAAAGGAGTCAAAGAATTCCTGATCCCTCCATCCTAAGACAGGGGAAACAATGATTGGTGCAAAAGTATTTTTCTATTCACTGAGACAATATTTTCCACATTATTATTATTAATAATAATTGTTATTATAAATATCATTATTATTGTTATTATTACTATCATTGTTATTGTTGTGGTTGCATCATCCATTTGACAGTTTGATTTAAAAAAATTTTGATTATTATTATTATTATCAAAAAGTCTAATCCTTTGTTAAGTAAGCCTGTTTGGTGGGTATAGGAGGCTGTGCTGGCCTTGTATTGGTGTCATATTGGTGGAACACAAATGCAACATGGAGAACTTGCTTTGAACCATAACATGCCCATATAAACAAGAAACACTCATACCTGTGATTAAATTAATTAATTGTGAAGATTAAAGATGAATTGATAATTACTAAATGATTAATAAATAATTAATTACTTGTGAAGTAGTGAGATTCTTGCCAGTAGCAACATGTACACTGAATGTTGCTACAGTGGCAATAGTTGGGACAATTAATGCCATGGAGATGTTTAACCCTTGGAGAAAAGCACTCTTCATGAGGTGCTTTCTCTCCTGATGACGAATACCTAGAAAAACAAAGAATAAAAAGCAAATTAATGATTGTTCAAAACACCTCCACTACATAGACATCAGTGCCAATAGTGATTACCATGCTAGAACTGAACTGCAGTAAGAAACATGGAGACTAAATGCAAGATTATGAATAGAAAGGACTGAGTTTGACTGTTAGTTAGGAACATTGTGTCCTTTTACACTGCTGCTGTCCAATGGGATCTGTATCAAATAGATTCCTGCACATTTTACTGGAGAAGGACTTATTCTTGAAAACACTGAGTGAAATCTACTTTGATCACTTTTTTAGGTTTATAGTCAAGTGATTGCTCCACTATGCAAGTTTTTACCTACACTCTAACCATCTCAAAAGTAGAGCTGCTGTGTGTCTGCCACACATTTATTGACCCTCTGTTTGGCAATAGACTGATTTTTTTCAGTCCTGAGAGTGTTAGATCAATGCTCTTGGACAGAAATTGTGAATCACAACTGACATGTCTGACAAGAAGGTGTCAATGACTTGACCTACAGGACTGGTGAACCTGTGGATCAAGTAACTGAAAATGATCAGCTATTTAAAAAATGGCCACACCCATACCACTTATTGCTTTAGCAAATGACTTCTCCCAAGCATACATCTTGATAAGTTTGATACAGTTCAATATTTCATTCATCATTCGGACCTTAAAAGAGGAATACATAAACACAAAGTTGAATCACTTCCATGTTGGTCAAACTTGGGGACAAAATACATTGTGTGGTATATTGGTGGTTGCACCAGAAAATTTTGTCTGCATCAGGTATAATTCTCTATAAATGAGGAATTTTTAAAAAAAAATTACAAAAGTCAAGTCATCTTTAACAAGTAGCAAAAAAAAAGAAATAAGCATGTATTGACTTAATCTAATTGAATTTTGCAAACTCCCTGGCTCACTAATTCTACTGCTCTTAGTTAGAGGGAGGTACTGAGAGCAGAAATATCTCAAGTAGGGAACATTACAACCCTAATATCGCACATTCAGTGTGAAAACCACTTCAGAACTGTTGCCTGATTGGCTCAACTGGGAGAGCACTGGGATGCCATGTAAGAGGTCATGGGTTTAAGCACCATATCAGACCAACACAAAGGGCTGGTTATTTCAATGAATTTTAGCCAATGGTTGACAAAACTGTATCGTAAACAATTCTCAAGTTAGCTGGACCTTTAAACTGAACATTTATTCCTGTGAAAAGTGTCAAAACACCTGAATGCTAACAGTGGAAGGACATTTCCTAAATTAAATCAACCCTCTTATTGAGAAAGCCTGGGGTCCACTGCTTGCATAAAACCATAGTTTGGGTTAGAATCATGTAAATAAGGGCTATAAGGGTCTAAATATGATGCATAAGGACTGAAACTTGTCTCACATGGCTTAAATGTCGTTAGCTGATGAAAGAAGTTTAAGAGGGATAGGTAACTGTACATGAATGTTAATTGTCTGGATCAAGAGAGGCGGAGAAGGATAGAGAACATACAACATGTTGCTGTTGTAAGTTGCTCTCTTAACTGCTCAGGGATAAAATATGCAGTACATGTTGATGCTAAAATTCATTTTATAATCATACACTAATTTGGTGACTGTTATTCTACAGAATGTAAAATTTTGCACCTACCCTCTGATCTGACACTTTAACTACTTTGGTGCGAAATTTTCCTTGAAGTTTACCAATAACAGCCTGACAAAAACAAATTAAAGTAACATAATTATAGATGTTAAAATCGCCAAAAAAGTTTTTATAATTTTCAGACTGCATGCATCACTTACAGTTAAATGTTGAGGAGAGGCAAAGACAAATAGGACATCTACACATTTATATTATTTCATATTGCACCACTGTTTCATACTTTTTTTATTATGTTACCTGGATAGGAAAAAATAGAAGAAATATCCCACATCCTATCAAAGCCGATGGGCCAATATAAATAACTGTGTAAATGATTGTACATGTGATGACAACTGGAAAACCTGAAAATTTAAAACCAAAAGTGTCTTGTTACAGCTGTAAATATTTGTCAGCTGACAAACTAAAAAGCTCATTGTCAGGCCTTTTAATATGATTTAAGTATCATGGAAGCAACTTGGAGAAAATACAATTCCTCACTAAATGAGAAGCCAAAAGTTTTTTCCCCAGCATTTCTTCAGTTTTCCCTGGCAGTTCTCTCACCCATTTATACTCCTGAATGGGGAGATGTTAGGAGAATAAGATATCCTAACCAAGGACATGGCACAATGATCCAGCTAAACCTGGATCCAATAAGCCAGCATGTTTCACACAGTATCAACAACAGGAGCACGGATGGATTATAATCAATGGAGATTTGTTGAGAGTCAAATCAAATGTACATCATGATTAATAGGGCTAGCTAATTTTTCATGACCCAAACTTAAACTCCAGGTCCCACTTGTTTGATTGGTGGAAAATGCTAGCCATTGAATAAATCTCTACCAGGTAGTGCAGTAAATTTTGTAAATACTTATCTGCTTGATAGTTATTTAATCATTGGATGGCATCATACCCCCTTTGAACAACTGGGCGCAGGAGTTAATTACCAGGCCTACGGAATAATGTTTATAAATGGTACACAAAAGAGTATAAATGCAGAGCTTGAAATATTAATTTTTACAGCTTGTGGAAAACAATGACCTATCACAATGCATGGCATTGAACACTAAAGCAGTCATACTCCATATCAAACAATACACTTTCTCACCAAAAACAAAGCTGCATAGAGCTACACCTTGATAGACTCTGTCTGCATCAGATGCACATAAGTTCACAAACTGTACAAATAAGGATGAGTTTTATGAGTGAAAAATTCCTCACTTTTTTAAGCACACTTTTGGTTGAAATATAATTGTCACTTAATTATCTGCAGCAGAGATGGTACAACACCAGATTAACATATCATAAGGAAATCCTTCTGATATTGACTCTTAATTGACAAAATCTTTTTGTTCCAATCAAAAGAAAAACAACCTGGGATTAACTCAAAATGTCATTTTAAGAATCACAGGAGAAGTTCAATATTTCCTGTTCACTTGCAAATAGAAAAAAATGATAGAGTAATTGTCAAATTATTGGATCAATGTCCATATCTGAGCAATTTCACACCTACCCCTCCCCTAACCTAACATTAACCCTAACTTGTTATCAGTTGACTGTTGTTGTTTTAGGGGAGGATGCAGACGCTGATCCAAATTGTAAAGAAAATAATTTCTCATACCTCTCCAATGGACCTGTCTCCCACATTCCTTAGTCTTGAAACCTTGTTATAAACCATTGTTAGAATCATAGCTCTAGCCCTGGTTCCAGTGCGAGTATTTGTGAAAAATGACATTGACAAGAACACACTCCTCCCTACTTCTGCCAATAGCAGCCCAATAACCTAATAGACAATGCAATTCATCAATATAAAAATGACAAAAAACAAAATGACAGTAAAAGTGTATAGTTTATATTATGTCAAAACATGGAAGGGAAAACTTTTGATCCTGTGCTAAAGAGTTAAACTTGATTGTAATTTTAAACTTTTTCCCCTTTTTCTTAGTTGTTGTGCAGCAAAACTGCACTGTTAGGAAAAAAAAAAGAACAAAATGAAGATATTGAAAAGCCATATATTCAAACTATTCCTAACAAAGTAAAGTAAACAATAACAACATGTCACTGGATACCATTTTTATAATTCTGTTTGGAGTATTGCTCTATGATGACTATTTCTGAACACTCTGATTTCAGGCTTTTCCATTTATGCATAAAAATATTTCTGAAAAAGAAAAAGTCAAAGGTCCTATAACCTACCCAACCAATTCCTTCCAGTCTTGAAGATGAATCCTTTTCTTCTATATATTCCAGAATGTTACGCACAAAGATTGCCTATAGAATACAGTTATAAAGGGATACAAATGTAACTTAACAGTACATAAACCATTTTCAAAAGCATTTCTTAATCTAACACAAATGTGAAAAAGATATTGCCAAATTGAAGAGTGTAAATACCAAAGAAATTGCACAGTAAATCAGAAAGGTTAAAATGCTGTGTTCAAACTATTTTTTCACTTCTTGAATTACCCACTCAAATAAAAATTTTGAATTTTGCAGATGAAAGTACAAATACACTATATAGAGAACTACATCAGTTAACTTTTTTAGTAAAATCTTTTGGCTGCCAAAAATCATGTTGCAGTTTAAAACATTCCCAAATTCAAGGTTTTCCTATATTAACCAAGTCCAGACATGTTTTTTGCTTAACATAATAATTTGTTTGCCAATTTACCAAATAAGTTGGGAAGATTAGGCAATACAATGAGTGTAAGCTGTCAGTATGTGTTTAAAATAAGACGATTAAAATAACCACACTATGAGTAACATACTTATTCAAAAATACTTATGCCAGAAAAGCTAAAAGTGGCTAATCTCCTTCAAAGTTGTCATTAAATAAATTAAAGCAGTTTTACTTACTGGGCCAAGGAAGCTGATAAGCTGGGATGAAATTAGAAAAAAAATGCCAAAAAAGATTCTTGTTTTCACTCCTCTTCCAACAACTCTGACAATGCTTGCATTATCAAGTCCTCTTTCTTTTACTTCTTCATTCCACAATCTTATTCCTCGCTTAAAATTGACTTCTGCAGATTCATATGGGGAAATTTTATCGAAATCTTCCAACTCTAAAGATCCTTTAAATCCTTTACGGATGACTGGAGTCGCCCAGGTCAAAAACATCAGTGACAAAAACCCTGCTTCGTCAATTGCAGGTTTAGAAGGATTCCTAAAAAAAAACAAAATCAATCATTTCTGTTCAATATCAGTGTTCAGCCTACTCTCTACAAACTTGTTTTAACCCTCTAACCCTTAAAAGTGGCTAGAATCTAATTTCTTCTAACAATATCACCCCTGAATCACATTTAGGTCACAAGAATAAAGGAATTGATCACCAACTTAGGAAGCTCTTGATTTTTACACAAATTCTCCTTGTCAGCACTTAAGAAACTTATGGAGAACAGTATGGAGAACTTGTAAACTGATATTAGGGTGTAAAGGGTTCAAACTACAGGGGAATAGACAGTTCTTTCAATCATTCACACTGCTTACACAGTGATCTACATGCATGTTATTGGAAAAATGTGATTTCCTTTTAAGAAGTTGAGGTAATTTATCTTGTCCTCTTCATAAGCAATTTTCTTCCTTATTTTCAGCCTAGCAGGTGAGGGGTTTTCCGTTTTAGAGTAGTTTTATAGTAACTACATAAACAGACCTCCCACTATGAAATAACAAGAGATGCAAATCGTTTGAAAGCGCAAATTGTAACGCGAACATTAGGAAATGAAAGAATTGATGGACAAATTGAAAGTAATTCCAATAGCGGTTTTTTGTAATGCGGGTTACCTTTTTGATCGAAAAGAAATGGGTGTCATCTAAGATAATTGGTTGCGATAAATTTCTGTACTGTTCAAAAGTACAACTTTATTGTGAATATTTACACAATTTATTACCGTAGAGATGGAAAATAAACGTGGTGTACGAGTAGGAATACGAGGGACCAATACAGACGATATCGACACAAACAAAAAGAAACAAAGGAAAGTGATAAGATACTCAGTCAACCGACAATTGATCCCTCATAAATGTAAGCTTACACATCAAAGTAAATACGATATATACACTCAAGCTGTTATAGGTTAGGACATATTTTACCTTCGTGCGAAGGGCAAGAAATTTTTCCAGTTGTACTTGGAAAGCCCTGTTTTCCTTGAGGGTTCTTCATCGGGGTCATTTCCGCTATGATTTCCTTCACTAGTTCTGCCATCAACAACGGGTTCAATGTTAATCAACTCAACCGGTTTGTTTTGTTTCGCAGTGTCGTTGGTAAATTGAACCGAGGGCAGCTCAGGTTCGTCGGGGGAGCGTGAGTTTGAGGGACTTTGTCCTTGATCTGTGCTAATATGTGCGTCATTAGATTCCTCAGAAGCCATGCTGCTGCTTTACAAAGATCACTAATAAATTATCGTCTAAAATTTCTTGTTCTAACTGAATGGTTGCTGGTCCATCGAACCTTTATACTTTTTGACGTAACATGCTCGTTCCCAGTCGTATGGCTTATCATAAATACAGGATGGAATGGAACCGTAAGGAACACGATGGAACAGGGCGGACGGAACGGAAAGGTCGGGCGAACCAGAGATGTGCGAAGATCAGGGGAGGTGTTTCCAAAAAAGCAATTTTCAGTAAGGAAACTGAAAGTGATTGTTTGGGTCAAACGGTGGATCTTTATCAATACTTTAAAATGTAATTCAGCTAAGAAGTTCGTTCATTAATCGAGTTACCGTAAATATCGAATTGCCTTTCTTAAATCTATTAGGGCCTGGTTGCACTGGAGCAAATTCAAAATTTTCCAATTTTTCTCAAATCGAGCTAATATCTTTTAATAGACCAAAACTTCAGTGATTGACATATACGTCAAACACAACCTATCTCGCTCTTAAAAGATTAAAATATATATATATATATATATATATATATATATCGCATATATATATACTGTATATATATGTATATATATATATATATATATATATATATATATATATATATATATATATATATATATATATATATATATAATAATGTACTCTGTTTTCTTCTGCTGATATTGATCAGCTGGCGCTACCTTTGCTGGCTTTGAAACTTGTGATGGAAGGAAAATTTCTCTTTGAAGCCGTCTTTTCTCCAAATTGCTGCCAGTGACTGGATATGGGCCCAGGCTACGAATCACAGACATTCGATAAAAACAGCGCTCAAACTCTTCGTTTACCTCAAAGAGAAAGGAGCAGCTGAATGTTCTGTCCTGCAATCGCGCGCAACAAACTAGACTTGTGAACCAGGGTATCCAAACACTTTTTGCGTAACATGAGAGCCCACTGGTGGTAAGATTGTTCAGTATAATCTTTATGACCGGCAAATAAGGCCTGAAATTCAAGGAACCTCTGACTGCTACAGTTAAACTGGAAAGACTGCTGGGACGATCCAGTCACGGAAGATAGACAAGATAAGGAGAGTGTTCGGACATTTTCTTTTTAACTGTTTTGTCAACAACAAATGTGATGACAACCATTAATGATACTTCGAATACATTCAATGCGTACCTTCATTTGAGGTACAATCATTCACATCAGTCTCTAAACAGAATCAAAACAGACCCATAGGATATCATTTATTCAAAATGAGCTGCATCACTATACGTTAGATTTACATATAAATTTTAAGGTATGTCACGCTCGTTCTCATTTGGCTAGTCTTATTACTTTGTTCTTTTCGGCACTCAAGACGTCAATTCTTTATTATGAGCACTTATTCCTACAACGCAACTAAATTACGAATTGAGAATATGGCGACATCTAATTTGGAAAACAATTTCTTCACGTTTCATCTTATTTATCTTTATTGCAAAAGAGTTGATCGCTTCAGATCCGAGTCAGAGAACATTTGCATTCAAAAGATGAGAAGGTACCAGCATGAATCACAAGACCCAAAGTAAACCTTTGTGGCAGATATGTCAGTTTTGATCAACATAAATCGATTAACAACAATGTTATAAACGAACTGGTAGGAACAAGAACCTGGGCTTATGAAAATATTGTGAAAATCAAATGGTCTCGGAAGTATCATGAGTGTTAGGTTGTGTTCATTGTATTGAAAGATTTTCACCGGTTTTGATATTCTCAATCATTCAGCTCTCAATTTACTCGATAAGTGAACTTCAACACTGCTCTGCTATTCCCGGAACAATAATGGAAAAATAACCGACGGTTTCTTGCTCTGGTAAGAGGGAAAATATTCCTGACTGGGTTATGGTGGGTGTAATTCTACGATGAGAAATGTTTAAAAGTAAGGAATTCAGTCGCACGTTACTTGCAGGTAAGAGAATTTTCCTTCAAAATGTTTGCATGTTTTGTTTATGCACAAGCTTGTCGCACATGTGAAACAAACTTTTATCTGATGTTGATTTTCCGATAAATTGATTGAAAAATTCCTTTGAGGAATTTTGTCTGGTTTTTTAAGAGTTTGGACTGATTTTTTTTAGGTCGATCTTTACATGTTCCTAACTGACGCAAGGCCAATTGCTCAAAGATGAGATCTGCGCACCCACAGTGCAAAATATTTTCTTATATGTGTTTTGATGAATTCCGAAAAAATCGAAACCATTCTTCGCTTCAGACCTATAATTTAAAATCTTTAGGGAGTTTTTCACGCATTCACTTGGTACTTTTCTTGTCGCATCGAGGGCGACTTTGCCAATTCTTTTGGTAACCGCGTAGATGGAGTAACCTCTAATTTTATCGTTAAAGGTCTCTCTGCTTTAATTCATCAATTTATGCGGTTTTGTCTTCAAGCTTGTACTTCAGTTTCATCTAAAAACAAAACTACGAAAATAATCGATTTATTTATCAAAGTTGACCACATAGCTAGGCATTATAAATAAATTTCTCTCTCTTGCTCTTTTCCTGATCCAGCTAAAAAAACAAGGCCTCGTCAAAGTCCAAGTATTGCATTTATTTCTCTGAATTACTTGAAACATTCTTTTCAAATATGTTCGTTGAACCAAAGTGATTGATCAAATTTGTTTGTCAGATTACGTGCCATGTGCAATCGAGAAGAATTAAGAAGAAAGAATACTCTAAGTGTTTACTACAGTAGTGTATTTTATTTGTACAGTAAACGACGACATATTCAAATTAGCTTCAGTCTGACAGTTTGCTAACAGGAATTATTTCGCCATCGGTTTTGATTTGCCTGAACCAAGTCTTTTATTAGTCTACCAGAGAGAGAATTTCTGAATTTTCCTTTTTGAAAAAACTATACCTAAAACATGTCTGACCTAATCATTTAACTTCGTTTTTTCAGTCATACTATCAAAAGAACGATGTAGAGTGTACTGCCAAATTATACAGGCGCGAACCGAATTAATGACTTCAATTGCAAAACCACTTTTTAGAGACATTTTGCTGACACTCAGAAATTATTGGTGACAAGAAAGCGAGAGAGAAGAGAAACCTGATTCACGCAGCTAACGATCGATAAATGAGATAAATTTCTTTGAACAAAGGATCAGTTGAGAAAATTGACACACATTCATTAAAATTGTTGGGCTTTGGGAATGTAAGGGAACTCAGTAATCTTGTCGTGACGAACTGACGAAGTAATCTTATCATGACAAGATGAAGAATGAGAGCGACGCACGGTAAGCAAACAAACGAGCCACCACAAACTGAAATGATAGAAACCAAGGACGATTAGGAGCTAAATGGCTTTTTTTTACTCAATACCTCTTCCATTTTCATCAGTGTGAAATTTGATGTTCGTTCTCCTTCTTCCTCCAATTTGCTCTCAAGCTACCCAGGCGCTGGGGTACCCTAAGGAAAGTAATCATTTTGTGTCGGGAAAATTCCTTTTAGCTTCATTTTTAACGAAAATATTTCTTGAACGAGAGAGGCTAAATGCTGTATAACTTATTTATACGGTAGTGGTACATACTAGACACGACTGAAAGAATACTTACGCTCTTTAATTTTGCGCCTAACACGAATTAGAATTGATTTTTTTTTGTGGTCGCGGTCTCGTTAACTTCCCAGCTTATCCCATCACGAGAGATACTTATGTTCTTCAAAATAAAAATCATGTCTCTAAATCCCGCATATTGTATATCGAGGTTTATCTAAAGTGAAGTAAAATTTGGGAATCTTCGAATGACAAAAGGAAAATGCTCGTTGTTTTAAAAAAACATCTTTCACCTCCTCATATTAAGTTGTTTATCGCATTTTCAGGAACTTTTGAAGAGCTCTATCAAGGAAAACTACACGATCGACTTTAATAGGTAGGATTTACGAAAGATCATAGAAGTTTTTTATGAGACGACATATATTTCAATTTAAAATGGTCTTACTGGGGTTTACTTGATAGAGCTGAAAGCCGAGAAATATGATTGCCCTGAAGCAGAAAAGAAAAAAAAAATAAACCATTGGGAAAAGGGTTTGAAATTGAAAATGGCATTTCTATTTTAGTCCTATTAAATAATATCTACATAAATCTACACTCCAGAGAGCCAAGTCAAAAAGGCTGGCTGATTTTCTCTTGGTTTCACTTTGCATTTTTTGCTTTTTACTGGCCCTATAGAAGAATATGCCGTTTAGAAAATCAACACTTTTTTTCAAGCAGGATTTCTGAATGGATTTCATAGTAATATCAACCTAATTTCCTCGTATCGTTGCAGGAGAACTGAGAAGTGTTCTACTTTTAATCGAGTTCATTGTGTCAGCAGTTTTTGTGTTGGAAGATGAGTTTGCTTTAACCAACAGCTCTTCTCTCAAACTTTAAGAGACGGTTTTGTCAGAGATCTCACTGAACAAGCTATGACCATACAATGTAATTTCACGAAGAGCTGTACTTAAGAGAAAAAAAACTTTCCCGCATCGTTTGCGTTTCGTTTCTCGATCTTACTTGTTCTGACAGGAATCGGCTCTAAACAAACAAGGAAAGAAATCGGCATGCAATGTGGGACGTAAACGAGCTCTGAGTACAAATCGGGGGTTTAGAAGGATCTGGTAAATAAGAATTTTTTTTTTAATCCATCTTTTCCTGTCTTCAACAAAGTTAAACTTGATTCTCACTTTCTCATTTCGTTTAGCTTCCTTCAGTTTCCTGTCAGGCAACACAACGGCTGAAATACTTCAAGGTAAATAAATTCACGAGCAATAACGAGTTTGTTCAATTTTCCATGTAACTCTCTCACTAAACAGCGCAAAGAGAATGCAGTGTTATACTCCATCAAATTTCAAGTAGATGAAATTAACTAAACGTTGATCTTAATCCAATCAAGCTTTTCCTCTGGAGGAATTTTATCAACCAACTTTTTATCTCAAAGTTGACTCTTCGCATGAGCACAAAATCCTCTATAACCTGTGATTTAGCCGCACTATTATATAGTAAAAACAACAACAACAAAAATACCATTCTATTTCAGTCATTAAATCAATTTTACAAGAGGTTATGAAAACAGCGCTTTTGGCTAAAAGGAATCGGTTTCCAAGGTTAATAAAGAGGACTCTCAATTATGTTGGAAATCAAAAGCAAAAATTTAGTCGCATTGCTCGCGAAACCTTGAGCTTTGAATGTCACTTGCTTGATGTTGATATCGTCTAAATAGCCGATCTATTCAGCAGAACTGTTTGTGCTCGCCTCTTCGAACAAATCATTTACAATATAATTTCCTTATCTGAACTTATTTTGGAAAAGAGAACAGGATGTATCGAGAGATCTTTAAGAAAAAAAGAGGAAAATATGTCGTTTATTTCAAAACAAGAACACTCAATGAATAGAAATCATGTTTGATGGAGTTATTCAAATTTGGATTTCACAATTATGCCCTTCTAATCGTATAAGTCCGACTGAGTTCTTGTTCTACAGCACAAATATACGATCACTCAAAGACCATTAATCAAAACTGAAGGTGAAGCCTCAAAACATCAAAGAAAGATGAAAAGATCAAATTAATCGTAACCTTAAATATTAACTTCGTTCTCTTTTCCAAGACGAACACTCTAGCGTCTAACATCATGTATTTTCTTTCATAATTTCAACGTGGAAGTGCTGCTTGTCATGTATTTATTCATTACTTCTTGATGGCGGTTTTTTTTAATGTTTGCGCACTCAAACACAACATAGAAGAAGCAATGTAATTGGTCAAATTGATAGTAATCAACCAATCACATTTCACGTCTTATTTTCCACGTGCGTCAGTTTATCATGTCCAGAACGTGTTTTCACGAAACTTCGTCAGCAACATCAATATAAAAAGGATGTCCCTTAACTTTTGTACTATTTTACCTCTGTTAATAGCCACAGAATAAGATAAGAGGTCTCTTCACCAAGCTCTTTACAGCTGAAGAATAAACAACATGCACGATCGTGTGAATATGCTGCCCAAAACCAAGATATTTTGGCTGATTTTTTCGCTGATTTCTCTTTGCTATGCAACGAAAAACAACAGCAGCGGTGGCAAGCCGAATTGTAACATGGTAAGTTTATCTTTTACAAAAACATCACAAAATTGTAGTTATCATCATTTCGTCTGATGTTCTCCATCACTGTTATTCCAAAAGAGAATGGAAAAGGAGATATTCCCAAAAAAGATGAATGTGTGACAACGATTGTTCACAAGAAAAATTGTCGTATTTCTGACAGCATATAAACAAAGTACGTGTTATGTTTTTTCTCTTTTTTACACAGGGCACTCACCCACATCCACCATATGGACCCTATGCTTATGGTGCTCTTTTTGGTGCACCAGGGATACCAGGTATTCCCGGGAGCCCAGGACCCGCGGGACCCACGGGCATCGCAGGGCCACCCGGTCCTCGTGGTTCTACGGGACCACAAGGGGACAAGGGCGACGCAGGAAAGGCGGGAAACCAAGGCCTCACAGGTAAACAGGGACCCCCAGGAAAATTGGGACCTCAAGGGTCCACAGGCCGGCAGGGTCGCCGTGGAACCAAAGGTGATGCAGGGGATAAAGGAAGCCAGGGAGCCCCAGGCCTCCGGGGTCCTCCAGGAGCTCTCGGGAGTAATTGGAAACAGTGTGTTTTCAAAAATTTGAACGATGGAAAGGACACTGGCTTGATAAAGGTATTTCAGTTCTTATTTCAATTAATCGCAATTTTACGAAATTGTATTTGACATCATTGCTTGAATTGACGATTCCCATCAGATTTTGACTAAAAGAAGATCGAGTTATGCAGCAAGCTAAAATAGTTTTTCTGTGGCAGAAGGTCGAAACTGTGAAGATAAACCTTAAGTAATTGAAGGATCCGTAAACTGGACTTGATATAGGACTTATATCGCTTAGGGACATTTTTAATTCATATTTTTCACAGTTAACCATCATTTATTTCTCCAGGAATGCCTTTTCATCAAAAAGTCGGCCAAAACAGCTCTGCGCGTGTTTTGGAGTGGCAACCTCCGCATCGCTAACTGCCATGGTTGCTGCAGACGATGGTATTTTACCTTAAACGGCGCAGAGTGCTCAGCTCCTGCTGCAATTGATGGCGTAGTCTACATGGTACATGGAAGTGGCGGCAAAAAGAATTTACACCGCCCCCGTCATATCGAGGGTGTGTGCGAGAAAGTCCACAAAGGTGTTGTGCGCGTTGGATTCTGGGTCGGTAACTGTAGTGGGTACGGATCTGCTGACGCATACACAGGCTGGAACTCAGTGTCCCGGATCTACGTGGAAGAAGTACCACCCCCACAGGCATAATGTCGTATACTACCATGGTTTTATTGCTCAATATTTAACAACGGAATAAGAACAATAGCACAATCAGGAACCTTAGATTTAATAGTCGGGATAAATTACAGAAAAGCTGTGAAATCGGGCATTTTAAAGTTGCGCCTCTGAGCTATGTCGAGTGGGAATGCTGCCATGACAACTCGCAAATAAAAAGGTTTTCACAAAAAATCCAGGAGTGTTTGGTGTGTGTTTCATTATTGTGGCTAAGGTCATTTAAAAGACGACGTTTATGATGTCTTGACATTTGATCGTTTATGTCAGTGTAAAAAAAGGGCACCCACGAGCGAGTCCTGCTACAAACTGCTTTCCTGACGGGATTCTTTTCGAAAAATTGAGATTCATGCGTGGAAGAGATTTAAGTCCTTTAAACACCGAAAATGTTAGGCTTCGAATCCAAAGTACTCATGGTTGAGCACGTTGACCTGTTGCTTCTCCAAAATGGAACTGTAGTCTTTACTCGTCCTGTACTAGTAATAATAGTGGATGTCGAATTATTATTTAAAAGCCAAAAAAACAAACAAACACACAAAAACATTCAAGCTGATATAACCTTATTGCAAATAACCTATGTCTGCAAGAGAAGCGCGCTCAGATTTCTCTTACTCTCCTTTTATCACCTTTAAAGAATGAAAAAAATTAGGATAATTGTAATAGATTCATTCGTTTGAAAGCCATAAGCTAATCATCCGACAATAGTCGTCTTGTTTGACTAAAAGTATAACCCTTAAGAGTGTAAATGGCTCCAGTAACAGACACCTGGTGGAGACGTCATCATAGTAACGAAACTTATCAGGCTGAATCATAACGGTTACAATTTCCTCAGATGTGATTGGTGCATAAGTTGCTTTACTTCTCTCTAATTATTCTGTAGAGTTGTAATTAGACAATTGGCCGGAATTGGACACTTGTAATTGGACAGTAAAGCAGCCGATCATACTAAGTCCATTTAGCAAAATTTACCAATCACACAATAACCATATACCCTTCAAAACTGGAGAATTTCTAATCATGAAACTTACTCTCCCACCATTAAAACTTTTCATTGCCACCTCAAGGTCGTGAGTTAACACCAAGTTACTGTACTTTTTACCCGAAGCTTCATGTTAGTTGCAGTGAAATCACTCACATCACTCTAACAAATATTTGAACGTATCTGCAGAACTTTTACCATTTCTGATGGGCGCTGTTTCTTTTTTTTGTTTTTTTTTTTTTTTTTCAATTCACCTTGTTAAGCGCAGATGATACTTATGCGGTCGATGTTTCATTTCCATCCGTTTTTGGTATGACGACGTGTACATTGAATGGTGATGAGTTTTAAAACACACTTAAGTCACATTCGCGCTCGGGGTGGAATAACGCAGATCTGAGGGACAACATAAAATCCTTTATTGTAAGAACCTTTGTCTTACAACGCAGTTACGGATTGCGAATATGGTGCAATTTATTTCCGAACGCTATTCGTTCGTGTTTGATCTTTTGTATCCTCACCGAAAAAATGTTGGTAGTTACCGATCACAGAACATTTGCATTCGAAAGGAATGAAGCTGCTAACATGAATTCCTGAAGGGACCAAAGGAAACTTCGTGTCAGATACGTCAGTTTTGATCAACCGGTATATAGCCTATAACTACAACATAATAGACGAACTGGCTCTCAATTAATTTGGTGAGTAATTTGTAACTATTTTTACAGAGCTACTTCCAGAAGTGGTGGCGAAATAACCGACATGATTTCGCTCTCGCATGGGAATGAAATATTCTTGAAGGTGGTTTGGCGGGCATACTTTAACAATAACCGACGCAGGTCAACGCATCAACCAAACATTGTTAATTTGCTAGTTTTAAAGGAATTAAGTCGTGAATTTCTCGCAGGTGAGAGAATTTTCCTTCATTTTGTTTGGATGGTTCAAGTTTTCGTTAGTTCAAACTTTTAACCTTTTTTCGCACCCCTGATGATTTAGTTTATAAATCCCTTCAAGTGATTCGCTTACGTTTTTCTAGAATAAACTGGCTGATCTCTGCCTGTAGGGTTAAATTTTACTTTCGAGGCTTCTCTTCTTCATGCCTCTGTGGCTTCAGATTCAAATAAGTATTTTAGTTTCACGGGAAACCAAAAGCGCAACAAGAACGACTCATAGCTCTGCATGCTCAAAATAACTGAATTCTTTTCTGTTGACTTCAGTTCCTTCATCCAGCGCGAAAACTGGGCGCATGTATTTCTCAAGATTGCCCTATAAGTTCCTCTAAAGCATGTCGTAAAACTAAGAGAAGAATACGAAACTGATAATCAAATTTTTGCCTTGTATAATATCAAGAAGAAAGAACACCCCGAGTTTTATCGGTGTATTTAATTCCATCAGAGAGCGAACGTCGACAAAACATTCAAATTAGTGATGTTTTGATAGTTTATGAACCGGAATTATTTCATCTTTTAATTCATTGGCAGGGAACAAGTCTTTTACCATTCTACAGAATAGCGAATTTCTGGCCTTTCTCATTGGAAAATTAGACTTTTATGAATAATTTTTAGTCCGATCTTATCGTTTAACTTAATTTTTCATGTTAGAAAAATGAACAATGCACAATTTTGTTGTCAAACGTAGAGGTGTAAATTGTTTTCTTCCTTCAATTAATTCAAACGTTTTGATAGATATTTTACTGTCGCAAAGAAGCACCTTTTGACAGGCAAATAAAGTTAAAAGAGCAGAATGATTTTAAAAATGAACACAGCTAACAAAGGATATATTGATGTCCGATGATAAAGTGGACTCGATAAGAGTGGAAAAAACGCACCATCACCGGCACTCGTGTATTTTCAATTTTGGATGTATCATTATAAAATCGGCAGTCATGTATTTTCAGTTTTGGATGTTTCACCTATAAAAATTTATACAGTAAAATCATAAGTTCTGGGAATTATACAAATTGAGGTCTCTCAAGAAGCCAGAGTTACTCGAGGCTACGCCTCGAGCAACTCTTACGCATCTTTCGTGCTCTTCAAACTTCCCGCGTGCTTCATATCTCAATGAACGCACGCTGACATATGAACCAATTGTTAGTTTGCATATATTGCAAAAACGATTTTATTTCTTTCTGTACTTCCTTGACCCTGAAAGACCGACATCTTACTTCAAAGTTACTTTGTTGACGTTTTATGTTATTTTGCATTTCTAGGCCATTATGGAACGAGAAATACTTCGCTTTCACACAGTGAAAATGCTGTCTAAATAGATTTTCGATTCCAACAATCATCACGAGCACGGTAAATATCGTTTGTTAACATAAATAATTTCGCTTTTCAAATGGGGTTAAAATATTTGCATTTGACCAGAAGAAGATAATAGGATATTATTTTCTTTTGATTCAACAGAATCAGATATTTTTCCTTCCTCTCCTCTCTACGTGATCTGTTGAAACAGAATGTGACGTGCCAAGCTGAAGGACTGAATTAATAAAAAGGTTGTGTTTGGTTAACAGTACAGATTCAGTGGACCACATCTCCCAAGTAGAGGTGACATTTTCCCAGTCGCAACTATGTTATTGTCATGATTGTGTCTCAGTTGTAAAATAGCTCAGCTGATCTTGATTCTCAGCCAGGTAATTTGGGCTTCATTTGATACTGATGAGGACATTAAAAGAGGGGACATGGATCATATTTAGTCTATTTTGGTCGATCTCGTTTGCTTGGCATTGTAACCGTTAGCACAACCACTTGGAGTATTAGATAATCGCGTCCTCTGGACCTTGTGCTTTCGAGTAATACTTCAGCCCTAAGATACACAATGTTATTCCTATAATAAATTTGATAGATGGAGACTTTTCTGCCTTTGCTTTTTTGAAAGTTTCTTTTAATCAATCAGCGACTAAAGTCAGCTATTTTCGTTGGAGCGTCACGACTCCGGTCAGATGAAAAAAAAATTCTCAACTAAGCCAACATGGCAATTTGCATAGTAAAATACTCATTTAATTATCTCTTAATTCTGATAAACTGAAACTTTAGTTCATAGGTAATGTACACAGTTGAATGTGTCTTTTATGCGAGCTTTGGAGTACTGATGTCAGAAAAAAGAGCACTATGCGTTGATAAGACGAACGTGATGTTCAAATCTGCTCGATTTTATTCACACGTGATAGCGACCTTTTGACATATAACAGGAATAAATCCGCTTTTTAAATGAATTCAGGATAAACAGATTGAGAGAGATTTTTGTTTTCGGTTTTTGAAGGCTAACATATAGTCAGCCCTGCATGTGAGAGCTTTTTATTCTGTTCCTTTCATTTCCTAGTTTTTACTGCGGGAAACAGAAAACAAACTAAAGTTTTAACCCAATAAAGAGACAGACTTCGATTATAATCTAATTACACTGCCGAATATTT